GATGATTTTTTTTTAACTTAAAATTGATTTAATTTAAAATTAAGATGTTATATAAATATATATTAAATTGAATGTGTAATATATCAACACAAAGACAGGACTATGCAAATCCTCCTGATAACATTCAATCATAGTTAGAATTTTAAATAACATATCATATATGATGTCGATTTATAAGTAATAATTTTAGCAAAAAGATGTTACAATTTTAGTTAGAAAATAAAAAAAGGGGCATTTACATGCGTGCCCCACAATCCTTATGAATTATATATATATAACACCTAAAATTAATTTTTTTTTCTTTACATTTCTAACACACATCTTTCTTATCATATCAAAAATATAACTATGATTAACTTTTTAAGAGTAAAATACCCGTTTTGACTCATAGGTAATATTAATATAACCATCAAAGTTTAGGAGTTAAATATGTAAGTACGTAAGAATTGTGTGTAATGCATGTAAATCTTCCAAAAAAAAAAATAGCACTCATTATCACCTTTTAATAATCAAATTCATCATTTTCATCCATAGGTAAATTATTGTGTGTAAAAATGAAACTTTTGAGTGTGAGATAGGTAAATCCATAAGAATTGAGTTTTATTTATGTAATTTCCGCCCTTCTTAGATTGAACAAAGTTAATTACAAACTCACACACATTGTATATGTATGGTCCCAAACTCTAGAGATGCATCTTGGTTAGAGACCTAAACTCGACATAAACTCCCATCCAACAAACTAACATAAGCAACATGAAATGTACAATCTAATTGGCTATAAAATTTAAAAGGAAAGCATGAAGTTTTGATTGAGCATGCAAGTATAAAATAATGGATTTCTAGCTAGAAATAACTTCTTCAAATGTTATTATATAAATCTATGATTAGCATTGCATCATGTTTAGAGTTGTACTAGTACCCACATATTAGGTTTGTGCATTAATTAGTTTAAATTAAAAAAATTGAATCAAATTGAATATTTTGATTAATTCAATACAATTTATGAAACCATAGTTCAATTTTTTTTGTTCTAAACCAAGAGTTATTTGGATTTTAATTATTGGTTTGAATTTTGAAAATAAATACTTACACTAAAAACATAAAATTATAATATGATTAAATCAAATTCGTCGCCAAATTAGTTTAGGGTTATAGAAAAAATTGACGTTTAGCATTGCATCTTGTAAAGTGTTGCACTAATATCCCTGCATTTTCGAGTTAGTTTCAATAAGAAAATCGTGAGCATATTTGGTTGATTTATTGCAATTATAATATCTTGAGCATATTTGATTGATTTAATGCAATTTATAAAACAACAGTTCAATTTTTATTCGAAAATAAAAAAGTTATTTTAATTTCAATTATTCGATTGACTTAAGAGAATGATTAAAATAAAAAAAAATCAAATTATATTGTGAGTAAAACAATTTTGTGAAGCAATTGATTTAATAAATTCATCAACCAATTAAATCCGAATTGACCAAATGCAGTCATCTTGATAGGAATTTCAAAATTTTCTCAAGCAAAAATTGAGCTGAATAGACCAAATCATATTTTAGTTCAATTTGGTTAGATTAAACATCTTATTGGGTTGATTCAGTTTTATTTTTTATTTGATTTATTATTAGTCTAATAAGTTCCGACAATTGTTGTAATAATTTTTGGGCTGATCTGTTGTACAACCCTATTGCTACAAATGTATGCACGATAATCTTATTGTTGCAAGCTAGAAAATTCTCCATGACAAAAAATCTTAAGTCTTAGCTTATTATTGGTTAGAACTACAATAGTTATAGAATGACTATGATGGTCGTAAGCTGGTTATATAAGTCATAGTTGAAGGCTATAACAATCATATTAGAGCTACATAATCTACAATTGGAGGATACAAAATTTATAGTAGAGCTACAAAAATCGTTGATGGAGATAGAAGTCATAGTTGGAGACTATAACGTCGTATTAAACCAATGTCGTGGTTGGAGGTTATAACAGTTGTAATAGACTACAAAAGTTCTATTTGGAGGGTACAATAACCAAAGTAGGGATTGACTACAAAGTCATGGTTGGAGGTTATCATAAATGTAATAGGGCTAAGACTTAAGATTTTTTTGTAATTGGGTTAAGACCAACAATTTCTATCAATAGCCAACCAAAACCAAAATTGGAGGCTATAACAACTTTAATAAGGCTATCAAAATCGTAGTTAGAAGCTAAAATAGTCTTAGAATTTGTTTGGGACAGCTGCAACTTATTAATAAGTTGTTAATAAGATGCTGAAAAATAATCTGTTTTCTCAAAAAGTTGCGGTGACTATTATATATATATATATATATATATATCAAGTGAGAAAGCAGCTAGAAAACGGCTTCCGCCCCTCGTGATGAGGGATGGGGATTGTCACCGCACCAGCTAGGAACGGTGTGAAAACGCCGATTTGAGCAGATTGAAAACACAGCTTTTTGAATACGCTGTCAAAATGCAATTTACCTAAACGATCGTGGGTACATTTTTAAAACACATCACACCAAACAAGCTGCCCCAAACGGAACCTTAGTTTCCTACATAAGTCGTAGTTGGGCTATAACAACCACTCGAAATGGTTGGCCATTGATAAAAATTATTGGCCTTTCAATTCTCTTCAAGAATTATATTTTAGTTGTCAGCTCATTTGTCTCTTCATCACCCTTGTCAAGCGAATAGTAGAGATCTATTTATAATCTTATAGAGAGTATTTCAATAAATTTAGCCTGGATCTCAAACACTTCATCAAAGATTCACATTAATTATCTTGCTCACAAGTAATTTTTTTAACATTTAATATCTTAATAGCATCAAAATTAATTGAACTTGGGTTCCATAGCTTCCCCTTGTTGAGCCGTTCAATTCGACTATAAACATGTCAAAATTTGAGATCATTGGTCATTCAATTCATACGCCAAAACTTTTAACTACACTTAGTGTTTGATCTGAGTTTCTTTGGCCATATCAAATCATTTTCGAAGTTATTGGTTTCTTGTTGTTGAGACACTCAGTTTAGCAATAAACTTGTTGAAATATGATCTTGAATTTGAAACACTTTTTACTCAAAATGCATCAAGATTTGTGTCCTATGATAAAATTTCCTTTAATACATTGCTTACGAGTCTAATAACCAGTTATTATGTGATCCAAAACTACATTAATTTTTATGAGTCTAATAACCAGTTATTATGATTACGAATAATAAAAAAAAATCTACTGATATTAATGTTAAATGTAAATCTTAAAATAATAAATCTGCTCATTATTCCAAATCTAGAAATATTTCCCACTGAAGAAATAAAAATAACAATTAAAATAAGAGATTTTTTTAAAATAATAACAATAAAATTCATTATTTTAAATACCATATTTAAAATAATATAACTTAATTCATTAACATTTAACTATTCTTTTCTCAATCAAAACTTGAAAATAATAGTTATAATTCATATCTCATCATATGCATGCAGCCAGACACAAACACACACACACACACTCTTATTATGAATATAAAATTTAAAAAGGTATTTACATATATACATACCACCCAATTCCTACTTTATTTTTTACATGTAAATCACGCAAATCCTTCATATTACATAAAAAATATCATTATTTTAAAAAATTAAAATACATCTTTTCATGCATAAATTTAATTTTATATTTGTAAAAAAAAATAGATGTTAGGATGGAAACACTTTCTAAATCTTCCAAATTAAAATTTAAATCTTAAATATATATCAAATCTAAAATCGTAATTCAAGGGAAAGTCAAATCATTTGTTACAACCCACAGTGAAAATTTTCAATAATATATACTTTATGTAGCGCTATATTGTGTTTATTTTTCTTATTTTTTGGTGCATATAATTGCTGTTGAAGTACTCCAGCCATCTCACTCATCCACGTTTGTGGTCTTCGATCGAGAAAAGGAGAGGCCTTGGAAAGTCAGAGTGGAAGCAGAAGACGGGGTTTTAATGAAAGGATTTGATAAAAGTGGCATTCTCACTTCCGACACAGAAGATAACAAGAGTGAGGATCGTGAGGTTTCAGGCCCTAAGGACTATACATTTAATGTAGCTTTTGTGCTAGAGTTCAACGAGAGGAGCTTTCGGAGAGGGAGAGAGAGGCTAGAGACATCCTAGAGGCTTCATGTAAGCATTAATTGCGAGGAGTTGTACCCCCTTACCGGCCAGAAGTTGAAATAAAAGTAGTCTTAAATGCAACCCAGAGTAGTAGTTTGAGCCAACTCATTTCATCGACCGCAGAAGAAATCACAGCATCTGAAACGAAGAAATAGAGCAAATGGTGTTCCCGTGAGTCTCCTCCATAACCACATAACTGCCCATTTATGTCTACTAGTAAAACCAGAAAGCTTGAGCTCATGACGACGTGATCAAATACGGAGAAGTCACGATGTTAATGGTTCCCACTAGAGATAGAGAGATGAGAGAGGAGAGAGAGAGTGTGTGTGTCGTGGAATAAAAACAATGGAATTTATTTGAGAGATGAGAGAGGAGAGAGAATATGTGTGTGTCGTGGAATAAAAACAATGGAATTTATTCCTACCTTCCCTTCAATTCCTCTCACAGGATCGCAAAACCAAATTCTCCTGCAATACCCATCCCTCTCGCCCCCACTCACTATCAATTTTATCACCCTCCATTACTTCACAAGGGTAAAAATGGCGACTATTAATCGAGCTCCGGCGAACTCCGCCTTCCCATCCACCGGAGACCGCGAAGAGCACCGCATAAAAAGGCAAAAAAAATAAACGCAACGAGACCAGCTCGTTGCTGGGAGCGATGAAAACTGCATGGCAGCCACGTTTCGAAAGTTTCACAGAATTAATCAATCTCGTGGAGCACTAATCTTTGTCTTCTAATAGGAGAGTTACATACAAAGGATTAATAAACACATGCGAAAAATTAATTAATACAACCCCAAATTAGAAGAGGGAGAGAGCAGCCGAAGAAATTTGACACTTCCCCCTTCCCCATCCACAAGTTTCTAAAATATAACAACCAACTCAATGAGCAATGGCCCATTCATTCCCCTCTCTACCCAACATAAAAAGTGATTAAACCAACGCACCAACTAAAAAACCTGAAATAAACCGAAAGAAGCAAAAACAAAAGCTAGCTAGATAAGCAGAAGCCGACACAAATGAAGAAATAGGATGATCTCACGGTTTCTTACCAAGGGTGTGCTTGTTATTGTGCATCCAAACCTTGAGAACGTGACGCTTAACCGATATTTCGTTACAGAACTGTTGCACTGCCGCATCATCATGCTTCTGAAGCCGCCAACCCACTGCTTCAGCGAATGCCAGCATCTTATCCTTCTGCTCTTGCGAGAACTTCGTCCGAAACCGTTTCTTACCGGACGACGAAGAAGGCCCTCCCGCCGCTCCGCCGAACCCGAAACTCATCGGATTTGACACATCGTCAAGCTCCTCTCGGCTATGTCCTCCACCCGAGGTCGAGGGAAGCGCGAGTGGTACCGGTCGGTGGTGATGATGCGCTGCAGCAGCTGCCTGGTGTTGGCCGGGCCAGCCGCGGCGTACTGATGTTGGTGATGGTGGTGAAGATAGCCGGCCGGTGTGCGATAGTAAGGGGAGAATGGAGAGTGAAACCCAGCCGCCGCTGCCGCAGCGGCGGCCGACGATACCACAGAAGG